GAGTATCCCTTATATGAGAAGTGCTTGTTATTTTTTTTTTATAAAATAAATGATGAATACATTTATGTATTAAAAATTATCAAGAACACTTTTTTAAAAAATATTTTTAATGTAATTAAAATATATATAATATAAATTTAATAAATTAATTATAATTTTAAAATTTATTTCTAATCATTAATTAAATTAAATTTATATTTTACGTGATTTAATTACATTAAAAGTATTTAAAAAGAAAGGTTACGTGGAACCTGCTCCTCCCTACATATTACTGTTGAAAAAAAAAAAAAAAAGACCATGAGCCAGCTTTAAACGAAGGATAAGCTGCTGTTGCTAAAGCCTTGTTGATTATTTACTATGGTTGACAGACATGGTTTGGACGATTCTAATGAAACTGATTGAATTATTGTTGACAATAATTGACCTACTTTTCTTAATTTTTGGTCCATCATCTTTCCTACTGCCTATTTGGTCTATGGCATTTACTTTTGCATTTTCATCTCCTACTCCCTCTTATTATAGAGCCATAGCTCTAATTTAATATTGTAAATTTTTTGGTAAATTTAATTAATTAATAAATGTCCAACAATAATTCATTTAAATTATATTTTCATTATTTTTAAGCTTTAATTTTAGTGAATTGTATGTGTTGGAGAAGGACCACAAAAATTTCTTCTAATAAACAATTATTTTAGAGAGACAAGATAAAATAAATAGCGCTTAGGTTATACCGGCCATATATGGAGTAACCAATATAGTCTAAATATAAATAAGTGTAGCAGTTATTAATGAACAAACATCATTTATAATTTAAGTTTAAAATTCATGTTTTTAAGGTATCATCCAAAGAAATTAAAAATTATTTTTTAAAAATATACAAAGTTAATATGAAAAATGCACAGTTTAATTTATCTAAAAAAATTAGTTTTAAAATACATATAATTTAACTTAGTTTTTTTATTATATGCTCTTAGGACATGTTAATGATGTATTTATTATATTTTTTAAAATTAATTTATATAAAAAATGTAAATATTGACTTTAATTTAATTAATT